CGGGCGGTGCCGCGCCCCGAGGGCACCCGGCGGCGTCCCGGCCCCCGCCCGCGGACTTGAGCCCTGCCTGGGTCGGCCACCCCGATTGCGATCCCGGTCGCGTGCAGCTTCGCGGCTCCCCGATCCGTGGGGCACTTCAAGAGAAGAGTTCAGCTGAGCGCCCTCTTATTTTTTTAAAGCGCTATGGATACCATGAAGCGCTAACCGGAAAGCAAGTTTCTTCGTATCATTAGTAAGCGTAAAGTGAATCCCCTCGTGGAAGTCAGCGTGCGGTCTTAATTTGAGGAGCTGTGATGACAGCAGTTTTTGTGAGGTGCATGACAATTCTAGTTTTAAAAGAGAAAAAAATATCCATTATTGTTCTGTAAAGTTAGGTCCAGAAGAAAAAATAGATGTCCATAGAAAAATAGTTTTCCGTAGAAAAAATTCAGGTAGTTTTAGGAATTTAGAAAAAATTATGTTCTGGCGTTGGGCAAGCGTTTTAGTGTATTTAGAAGTTATGCTGAATGGACACGTAAGTGAAAGACACCTTGTGAAAGACAAGGCTTTAAGGAAACTCCCGAGAAATATTTCGAGGTGTACTGAGTGCATTTTGTGGCAGCAAGTTTGTGTGTTGCGTGATTTTACAGTTTTAGCTGGGGGAGGGGCAAACCTTTGAAGAGTCACGAAATTTTTTTTCTTTTGGGGACAGGGTTTCATTATGTAGTCCAGGCTGGCCTTGAACTCACTTTGTAGCCCTGCCTGACCTCGAACACGCAGCCATCCTCCTGCCTCACGCCTCCCAAGTGCTGGGATTACAGGCCTGGGCCATCACACCTGGCCATGAAATTACTGTTACCAAAATAGATACTATCTTCAGTTTAAGAAAAAGCTTTAAGGTGTGTTTTCTCAGGAGTAATTTCTTTTACTTTTTGATAGGATGAGTTTACAGAACAGATTTTCTCTACTGCATAACCATGTGTGAATTACCTTTGGGAATTAGAAACCTGTGAAAGTAGTGTGGGTTTCCCCTCCTCCCGCATCCTGGGGATTCAACCCAGTGCCTTCACACTGAGCTATATCCCGACTTTTTTTGAGACAGGTTCCCACTCAGTTACTGAGATTGTCAGGCTGGGTTCACACTTGGGGTCCTCCTGCCTTAGCATCTCAGAGTGCCAGGATTGGCAGACGCTAAAACTAGTTTTAGACAGGAAAATGTCCACAGAGTTTGAAGGTTTCTCCCTAGAGAAATAGAGTTGTTGCCCTAGTAAGAGATTAATAATACTGGACAAGTTTTTAAAAGCCAAAACGCTGCGCAGTTACTTAGGAGAGAAGTGAAAGAACAACCAAGAACACTACACAGTGACTTGTCCATGTAGTTCACTTCTTTGGGGTAGTACAGGCCAGGCCTGTGAGACCCACTTTTCCCTTTAGGAAGCTTTCAGGAAGAGGCTGCTCTTCAGTTGAGGAGAGCTACACAGAGAGAGCTACGCGGTGTGTGAGCAGGCCCTAAGTGAGAATGCTTGGTGTGTGCTTCAGGGTCTGTAGTTGTGTACTTGTGTGTAAAGGTGGGCCAGGGAGCTCTAGGGGAGTGAAGGGGATGGGCTGAAATAGGAGCTGACCCTTCCTGGTTGATTCCTTCCTCAGTGTTTAGCTCTTAATGGAATGTAAATAGTCTGCTTGGTGGAAATTTCTTATGTTTAGATGAATGGCTCGCCATTGGGCAGTGAGACATTTAAAATCCACAGTCTACTTGTGCTTAGTTTGATGATGGTGTTTAAAATCATTTAATTGGCTTGTCTTCAGTCACCCATAACTTTTAGTTTAAGTGAAGGTCTGTTACAAGATAACTTTGAAAATTCGTTGTCATGTGTTTGTGTTTAATTCTACATTTGAGTAAGATGATTCTTTAGGAGCAACTCATTTGCTCATTTTGAGATTGGGTGATTTTCCTTTTACATACATAAGATTATCTGAGATGAATCTCAGTACGTTGTACAGTTTTGGAGATGTAGGTAAGAGTGGTTCATTTTCTCCATGCTCCAATATTTTATTAAAAAATGTATTGTTTCACGTAGTCAATATACAGAAGTGCTTTAATGATAATATAATGAATTCTGAGGTAAATGTCCTGCTTGTCAATAAAGAAAAAGAGATATTTCTTTTTGTTTAACTTCTGTTTAAACTCTGGCAGTAATTTGACTTAGGACTTGATTCTCATATTTGAAATTTGGTATTTTATGTGAAGTGATTTTTTGCTTTAATAAAAACAGTATAAAATTTCTTCCTTCGTGTTATGCAGCTTTTTACTTTTTCCATTAGCAGGTTTGGAGAAAACTTTAAAGAAAGTTTAGAAAATCCTAAAATAAATTTCAAATATATTCTTTCTTTCAATGATCAAGGACAGGAAAAAAAAGTTATTAGAAGTATTGTGCTCAGGGTCGCAACTGACAATACAGAGTTCAAAGACCAAGCACTCTGACTCACCCAGGGATGGCGGTGGCCGTGTGAGCATGTCTGGACCGCAGCACACCGCTGAGAAGGGGCTCACTGGAGGATGCAGACTCCTGCACTTCTGGGTGGTTAGCACATTTTCAGACGGTTCCTTAGAAGTGCCTCCTGTTTCACACTGGCTTTACCAGATCTCTCTGGTGTCCTTGCCCCATTTCCTTAAAACATAAATGCCATCTTACTACTTCATTCCTAAAAGGTGGCAGATACATTGTTCACAGGATGAAAGTCTGATCTGCTTTTTTTTTTAGCATGGCATACGGGTCTTTGCCCGACGTGCTCCCTCTGAACACCTGTTCCTCTGCATTGTACTGTTCTCATGTCCAAGGCTCTGGGCACCTTTGTTCTGGGTGGTTAAGGTAAACTAATACTTATGCTTACTCTTTTTAACACAAATAAGCTGAAGTTTTGCTTTTTAAAAATAAACAAATTTTTCTTGACCGAGCTTCTGGTCTCTGTCCTTCCTGGTCCTTCATTTCTTTTGCAGAAGGACTACTTGGGAAAACAGTCCATGTTTACAGTCCTTCTGTGCACTCCTCCACCCTTGTGGTCATCTTTCTGACTTGTTACTTATGGACACCCACATTAATCATGTCCAGTTGTTATCTCACCTGACCCCTCTGACAGTGAACATTACCAACAAGACAGTTCTTTTTAGAAATTGAGGCTTTTAAAAAAATTTGTGTGGCACCATTATTTTGTAATTTTCTTCTTTGCTCTTTATTTTGGTTTTGTTTGTGGCCTTTTTCTTAAATGCAGGTGTTTCTGAGACTGATTGGGTTTCATCTTTATCCGCCTCTGAACTCTCCTTGTTGAGAAAGTTTTCTCTTTCTTTTCCTTGCTCTCTGTACATAGTGGCGCACACCCAAATCTGCATTTTAATTCAGAACTTAGAGTTAAGAAGAATATACACTCTAAACAGCTTATTGACTGTTTGGATTTGTTCTTTAGATAATTCAAAATCAGCACATTCTTAGCTTTTAAAAAAAATACTCAAGCCTACCCTTCCTGTATTTTTTACTTTTATCTTTTAGAGGCATCACTATAATTCATACCAGAAACATTCTACACATGTAATAATTAAACTGTTTCTCTTTCTCAGATAATCCTTATCCCCTGTAATACAGCTCGACTTCAAAATTCATTTTAAGAATTCGTTAAGACCTGAATAAGATTATCTAGTATAATTGCATTAGATTTGAGCATCTGTTATATGTCAGGTGTGATGAATGAGTGTTGGAACTATAGTTGTGAGGGAAACACTGCCCTGTGTTCATGGGGCAGTTCTATCAGGGGAGATAGACACTAATCCAGTATGGAGATGAACGAAACACAGCTATAAAGATGTCTGTTAGTACTATGAGAATCTAAAGTAGGGGAGTTCGATCTGGGCGAGAAGGCTATCACAATTGAAGTAAGATTCCAAGAATAAGGAGTTCCCTAGAGGAAAAAGAAAAGAAACCACATGTGACATTGTGCTGTGGTAGGAGGGAATGTGAGACATTTACTAGGCTGAAAGAGGTCAGTGTGACAGTAATGGAAATAACCAAGATGAATCTAGTTCTGGTTTATAGGGCAGGTTAGTAGTTTCATTTTTATCCTAAGCCAAGGGGTAGTTTTAAGTTGTGTAGGAGAGGGGCAGTAAACGGGCAGGAAATAGAGTATCATCACATTTGCTTTATAATTACTACTTCCAGTGGCTGTGTAGATTAAGAAGAGAAAGAGATGAATTAGGTAGCCATGGCAGTCCTGGCAAGAGGTGATCTCTTGGACTGAGACAGTGTGTTAAAGAAATGTTGAAAAGTTTGGAGAGCAAACCAGTGAGACTCTTTGGTATCTGCCCTGAGAAAACAGGGGTGGTTGGTTTCCTATACGGTTTTGAGATTTCTGCTTGTGTAAACCAGGTGTTGGTGCCATTCGCTCACCTAGGAACCCCCAGATGTCTGGATGAGGATCAATTGCATTTTATTTGGGGCTATGTGGGAGGGTAAGTGGAAGCTTATGATCTGAGTAGGTATGGAAGATGTGTTTGGGTCCTTACACTCAAAAGGGTCTGGATTTGGGATAGTTAAAGGTATCTTACATCTTTTCTCTCCTGGCCAGCAGACCTGTCTCCTTTT